GCAATAATTATCTTTTCAAATGTTTTTCTTCGTAAATTAGAACTGTGCGTTAAATCATGATCGTTTTTTTAGTTATATTATGGTACTTTCTTCTTTCACCAGCTTTCATTTACATGGTCCAATTATTTTCTATATCAGCTTCCTTTACAATTAAATATATAATTTTAGGAAACATCTATGAACAGTATTTTAATATCGAAAACTTATATTTAATTAGTATTATTGTTCGGTCATCGAACATTTACAATTAGTACGTATCTAGCAGATGAAACATCAAATTTGTGATGCCCCTGAAAGTAGGTAATTATTCGTACATACATGATATAAAAAGCCCTTATACACTCTGTATACACCTTGTATCAAAAATATTTATTAACTTAAAAAAATACAATATAACAAACGCAATTACACGTAATTTATTTATATAAGACATTTAAAGTAAATTGAAAGTAATACAAAATCAAAATACTAATAGAAAATATAATACTGTGAGGTATATAAAAAGTATGAGGTATGAAAATTAAAAAAAAAGAAAAGAAAGATATTAACATATACATGAGAAAATAATTCCAAATAAATTTCAACCGTTTTATATATCGCGTTACTTAACAATATCGGTAACGAATAAATGTAATAAAATTTACTATATACCGTAAGTTCTGCGCGCCGATTATACATCATACAAATACGTAATATATTTTTTGTTTTTGTTTTATCTATTCAATAAATCACTCTTCGCTCCTTCAAATATCAGCAATAAGAGTTTTGATTTCGGACTCGTCAGCTTTACAGAGAGTAGCGAAGAGGTGTTTGTAATTAGTTTCTTGTTCCATTCGTTTAGCTATTTCACGTGATCTGTTTGTAATTGCAGATGGAATACCAGCCAACCTTGCTGCATTAAATCCATATGACTTAGGACAGGCACCTTCGCTGAGTTTATATAAAAATGTAACAGTTTCTTGAGACACTTCTTCCTCTTCTTCAGTTTCTACCATGCATGCCTATAAATAATATAATACAAAAAATATCACACCACAATTTTTTCCACTTTTACACTTATATAATGATTAAATATTGAATGAATTATTTACCATATGAACTAATGTCACATCTGGATTATTTTTATAATCTTCTACCAGCGAGTGGTAATGTGTTGAAAATAACGTACGACACTTCAACTTCGTCAATTCATTAACAACTGACGCAGCTATAGCTGTACCATCGTACGTCGAAGTCCCACGACCTAAAAATAATCGATATTTTTTATTTTTTGATTTATTATCAACAAAATAAATGACCAAGATTCATCTTACCCAATTCATCTAGCAAAACTAAAGAATAAGGTGTAGCATGTTTTAATATCGCAGCAGTTTCTGATAATTCTACTAGGAATGTACTCTGACCAGCTAGAATATCATCGTTTGCCCCTAATCTTGTAAAGATACGATCAACTAATGTTAAATGACATGAACTTGCTGGTACGTGACAACCCTAAAAAGATCAAAGACAAAAATAATTTTACAAATTCTTCGGTACTCGATTATAAGATGTGTTTCTCTTTAATGATAAATTGATAAGAGACTTACTATTTGTGCCATAATCGTTAACAAGCCTATTTGACGCATTAGAGTTGATTTTCCCCCCATGTTTGGACCAGTTAAGATAATTACTGAAGAAGATTGGTCTTTCGCAATTAAAGTATCATTGGGAATAAAGTTCTCGGATAATATACATGGATGCTTTCCGTCTTTGATGTCGATAAAAACCTTTTTATAAATCATTAACAGGTTTATATGAAATCGCATTTTAAATGTATACAGTTATATTCATATAAGATATCATTTTATATACTTACTCCCTCTTCGTTCGCGTCATGAATTTCTGAAATGCACATATCTCCACTGTGAGCATATTCAGTAAGGGATATGAGGACATCTAAAATAGCTATTTTATAAACAGCCATATGCCACATATCATATTTCTCGCTAAATTTTGCGAATATTCGTCTGTTTAGATCCTTCAAAACTTTGTCCCTACTTTCTTCAGCATTTATTTGTCTTGCCAAAAATTCCTAGAGGAATATCTAGTAATAGATAACTTCATACTTTACTTATTTATACTCTCTTAAGCAAAATATACTAACTTAAGCAAAGTTTTAATCAAATGAAAAATTAATTTTAGAAAAATTAAATGCAATTGATTTAACTAACTTTTGCTTCTGCGGTATAATAGCGCTTGAAGCCTTTACGTTGTGACTGAAGTTCAAATCCTGGTCCTACTTTTTTTACTTGCGAATCAGGTATTTCAAGCTGAAATCTTTTTCTGTCTTGTCCAAAAAATGTTACTTTAACACCAAAATGTTTTCTTTGTTTTTCTAAATAAGCATCTAAATCATGTTTAATTTCTTCCAATTGAGATAATACCGAATCATATTCCTCGTCCACTCCCTTTTTAGGAACAATACATCCCTGCTTCTTTGCTTCCTCGTGATCGAATGCTGTCTGCAAAAAAAGACATATTACAAATAAATATTAAATCTGTTAATGAGAATTAAAAAGAAAAAATTGAAATATTTATTGTCTAATTCAATTACTTTAAAATAATCGAGTGTTTCTCTTAAATTGGGAAATTCTCCGTCTGGTTCAAATTTGGTACATTGATTTATCAAATTAGTATTGAAGTCTGGAAAAAAATAATACCAAAGGATAAAATTGACATTTCATATTAACTCAATATATAAATGTAAATACATACTAGAAAACAAATCAATAATCTCCAATACTTTTTCAAATCCATCCAAAGTTGTGGTAAAGTCCACGATTTTTCTTTTTGAGTATATTTGACCTTCAAACATAATTGCTCTCCCATCAGGATGATTCCACAATCTCGCTGCATTTCCTAGAGCATGTATTCTGAAAATAAATTCATATTTACAGATAAATAAAAATGACGTTGCAAATAATGTTTTATATATTTTAACAAAATATTTTATATCTTACTTGCTCAATAATCTTTCTAAGTCAGGAAGGCCTGACAACATAGATCGAACAGACTGTACTACATCCGTTCTATCCATTAACTCTTGTATAGCCTTTTGACGCTCTTTTATAACGTTTTTACGACAAGATGGTCTGCACACCCATTCTCGTAGTAATCTACATTATTAAATACAATATAAATAAAAATATTAATATATGAAAAAACCAAGGAAGCAATGGGTACCATAATCATACACTTTTTACCTTTTACCAAATGCTGTACAACAATGATCCAATGTTTTCATAAGGGAACCTTCTCCAAAAATTCGTAAATTGTTGATCGTGATAGCATCCAACACCTAATTATAATTTGTTTTTAGAGAAAATATAATATATATATATATTCTTTTTTATTAATTGCGCCTTAACAAAATACGTACCATATTGTTCATAAGTTTCGTTTCTGTACGTGCATTTTCGCTTAAAAAATCAGCTGGTACGTATGTTTTAAATTGAGACTGCGCCAATAATTGTTGATCAAGCAAGTACTCTTTAAGTAAATATATACATCCTCCAAGAGCATGTACTGCTAATTCTTTATCTTCAGCAGGTGTTAAACCTAGACTGTCTCCTTTGAAATGATAAAATACATATTATATTATAAGAATACATATCTATATAGAGATTTTTTTCCAATATAAAGTGTATACATATACATACCTTCGCTTAAATAAGGTTGCAAACCTTCAGGCCAAGAAAAATTAGAATCTTTCTCCTTTTTAAAATATTCTCCTTCGTGAAGATGCTTCGATTAAAAAAAAAAGAAGAAAAAAAGAAAAAATACATTATTTGATATTGTCATAAATAAATCAATTTTAATAATCTTACTTTCAACGTATTCGCTGCGTTCCAAAATTGCGCTTCACGTTGTAAAGATTCTTTGTAGCAGGTTGCCAATGAATTATTTAAAAGTTGCAACATAGCTGGCGATAAATTTCCACGTTCATAAACAATCTAGAAATAAAAATATATTCAATATGAGAAAAATTGTAATTCTATTATTATTATTATTATTATTATTTATCAATAATAAATATACTGACATGGACTGGTGGATAATGTGCAAATAAGGTCAATAATCTCGAATTATAACAATCATCCTCGAATTGCCCAAGATAAAAGTCACCTATTGAAGTATCTATAAAGCATACTCCAAACATGCTGTTTGCTCTTGATTTACATTTTTGAACCAGAGAGAGCAAATAATTAGAATTAGGTGTAGATGCTTCAACATCCAGAGGAGAATAAACTCTAGTACCCTTTGTACTTATTTGACAAATTTCTCGTTTTACAACCTTGTCGAATTTTGTTACTTTGGACACTAAAAAATATAAAAACATCATTTAGTATGAAACGATATGCATCATCTAATTAAACTATCGATAAGCGTAATCCTTTACTTTTACTGCAACGTTGTGTCATCATATCTGGCGTTTCAGTTTGTTCAATACGTGCGATTTTATATCCTCTTTCGATGAGACTCGTTGAAAAGCGTCCATATCCAATTTCTGGAAAACCAGAATGTGCAAATTCGCCCTGTAAGAAAAATAATAAGAAATTCGAAAGTCTTTTTGCATCTTTTTATTAACTTACACGCATATATGTGAGATTAAGCTCGTTAACTCCAGTAACTGCATCCATGTGATATAATTCATAAAACTTTCCAACTTTGAAAAAGAGAACACAATCAAAGTGTTTGCTCTTGATTTCCCACCACTGTCTCATGGCCTATGGAAAATGATAAGTATTAGTAATAGAATATCAAACATTCGCATACAACAAGATATTTAAAAAGACTGTAGCCCTTACAGGTGTTTGATTGTTAAGGAAATCCAAAGGTACATAAACAGTCTTAGAATCATAATTTGGATCAGCTGGCGGTTTTCTATTAATATCTCTCCTTTTATTAGGTTGAAGAAAGTCGTATTTTAAATGAGGCCATGAATCTACTGTAGTAACAGATGCGCTTGTTGATTGTTCCATTAATTGAGGTGGTGAAACTGATTTTATTTCCTTCTTTCCTGACGGTTTCTGAACTACTTTTCCTTTACGTGAACGTTTCGCAATTACAGATTTCTTTGGTTTCTTCTAAAATATTAAAGAACATTTATTATAAAAAAAAAAAAGGAATTTATCATCAACAACATTCAATTTACTTCAGGACTTTCTTCATCTTGTGTTTCTATTTCACTTTCTGGAACATTTTCAGAAAATGATTCAGATTCGCTATCTTCATCTGCTGAATCTATATAAAAAAATAAAATATAAATAGCTCGATGAAGACTTATTATAAATGAAATGATGAGATATATATACCAGGTTTAAAGCTATCCCCAGAATCTTCGCTATCTTCAGCTATAATGATTCGACGTCGTTTAGATTGTACTGGCATACTTTCTTCATTTCCATTAGATTCATCATCTTTCCAAACTCTTTTGCGTATATCAGTTTGATGATTTTCCTTTTCTTCTGTTTTTCTCTGTCCTATGCAAAAATTGCATCCACAATCAATTAACAAGGATTTAAAATATTATATTTATCTAAATTATAATTTATACTACTTGCAATATAAATTGAATAACGAGAAAAAATTGTAAAAATACAATACCGAATATATCTTTTAAAATAAATAAAAATTGCATATATTTATTTATACATTTATGAATATATTTGTTATTTACTTTATATAATTGCATTATATTTACAAATGAAAGTATTGGTAATTTACAAAATTGATATAAAATATTTTAATCTACGAACCTTTCTTCTTTTGCCCACTCTTTGGAGTTTCTGGCTTTACATTATTCATAACTTTACTATCTCTTTGTTTAACAGTCTTTGGCGATGTAAAATAATTATACAATGTATTCACTTTCGACATTTTTTATATTCGATTAAATAAAGTCTTTGAAATTTTTCTATGAAATTTCTTGCGAATTACTCAATCCGATTCTAACGACGCTAATACTTCTCTTCTGTGCGCACGAAGTTAAAATCGCGGCAAAATTTTAACTATCCTATGATGTAATACGTCATCGATTACACACATTTTTCCCTAGGATATTAACGAAAAAAAATTAACTTATTTATCGATTATATATACACAAACTGTTTTGTAATATTTAACGAGTAAATAAAATCATCAATAAAGACTTTCAAAAGATTATGAGTTACAACAACAAATTTGAGATATAAATATTTTCATCACTTATGATGTACAAATATTAAAAACTTTGTGTCCATTTCGTTGCGTATATACGAACATCTGTTAATATGAAAATCTATAAATATCTTTCAAAATTTAGGTATTATATTTAAATACTTTTAATGCATGTACCTACTTTTTTTGCTACATTGAAATTGTATCGCGCCGTTCGTGTTAATTTACTTACCATCCAATCAAAATGCAGATTCCTTTTATTCAGGCAATCGGATTGTTGAAGCTGGTGGTGATTCATAATCACGATGAAAATTTGCAAATAATCAGAAAGATCCTTTTTTTGTCTATTTCCGAGTCTAGTTTCTTTATAATAATTAGTAACAAAAATCTATATTTTGTCATTGGTCAAATGTCCTAGTACAAACTGAAAAGCAAAAACAGTTATTGGTTAAATTCACGAAAGTTTCGATCCGTTCCGGCTACTTTAGTGAAAAGTACAAAGTTGCTGGTATCGATATTTTTCGTGGTATCCTTTCTCAAAGCATACTTCATGCCTTACGGATTCTGAAGTTAACCGTGTGGGCTGGCGAGATAGCGAGCCGTTTGTATTTCTGTTAATCTTCACCACTATCATGTCTTCAGGTAAATATATTTGTTCGAAAATTTTATTTATATAATTCTTCATTTTATTTTATATAAATCAGCTTGTAAGAAATATTCTATATAACGTTAGCCTGATTTTTCCATGAACATAACCAAACTTTACATAAACCATGCACCATGCTTTCAATATTGTACCATACTTTGTTAACACTATGTTTTATATATTTAAAATTAATACATCATCCATTTATCTAGGTAAAAAAGGAAAAAAGAAGAAAAATTGTAAAACCGTTGATTTGATGTCATTCTTGGCTGATGGCGGTGGAACTCCTACCATACCTTTAAAATCAACGAGCTGGGCTGATGATGTTGAAGATGAACATGGTATGTGAATATTATAAATTTATAATAGATCATTATTTTATATTCTACATAAAATATAGTTTGTTCTATTATATAAAAGATATTTAATTTTTTATAAACTTTTCAATCATCAATAAAATTTATTTGAAAAAGTATATAAGACAAATAATAGCGAGATACTAAATAAAATAATGAATATCATTACAAAATATGTATTAAATCCTTAATATATATTGACTAGATAATTTTGTATGACTTATTTATCTAGTTAAGATAAAAGAATTTATGATTAACTCGGTATTAAGATTAATTTGATAATAATAGAAGAGTGCAATAGTTTGAATTAATTTCAATTTAATTTATTAAGATATAATGAAAAATGTTTGTTTATATTTCTTATCTTACAGAAGGAGGATATACTTCAAGGAGTAACAAAGAACCAGTTGTTCTACCTACTGCGCCCAGAGCGGCAAGAGGTCCACGTATTGATGAAGAAAATATTCCTACAAATCCTCCTTTTGTAGCATATGTTACTAGTTTACCTTATGAAGTAGATGAAGATGATCTTATTGAATTTTTTGCTGAGATGAAGGTTGGTTTACTTTGTTGTAACAAACTTTCAATTTTTCTGCTTTTACATTTGCTTTTACATGAATATATATTAATTTTGTGATTTTTGTACATTATAGGTTACTAGTGTACGCTTACCAAAAGATCCAAATAAACAACTTAGAGGATACGGATATGTAGAATTCGAAGATCGACAAAGTTTGATTGACGCTCTTTGTATGACAAATACTGTAAGACAATGAATTGATTGCTTTGATTGAATGATTACTTTTAATACCAAAATGAATACATAACGTTGTATGTTTAGACAATGAAAACTAGACGTATCCGTATCGAGGTTTCAAATAGCAGTAACGATGAACGACGTGGTGGACGTATGGGACGAGATAATCGCAGAGACAATTATGATGATCCGGAGCGCACTTCTGGAGATTGGAGAAGTAGGCCTAGGGACGAACCTCCAAATTCCGATGGTGACTCCTATCGTAGTCGTTACGATAATAGGGACAGAGATAGGGAGAGAGATAGAGATAGGGAAGGTATGTATATAATATAATTTCTCAATGTATATTATTCTACTATGACGACAAAGGAAATATGTAAACAATTTTCTCTGTTATATTTTATATAGCTACTGATGATAAACCTGGTGCATGGCGTAATAGAAGCGAAGATGACAGAGGAAGATCAGCATTCAAAGATAGAGGTTTTAGGGATGATGATAGGGATAAGGAATGGACACGATATGGCGATAGAGGTGGTAGTAGAGATAGAGATGGTGATAGAGATAGAGACAGAGGTAGCAGTTTTGGTCCACGTCGCGATTATGGAGATTGGGAACGTGATGGACGTAAGGATGGAAAAGGAAATTCAGAAACGAAACGTAATGATCATATTATAAATTATATTGAAAAAAATTTTAATATGAATTTTTTTTTTTTTTTTTTTTTTTTTTTTTTTTTTTTTCTTACGTATACATTAAATTTTAGCTGCTGAACCAAGGACCAGACCAAAGTTACAACTGCAACCTCGCACCAAGCCTATCGAACCATTAAATGTTAAAGATGAAAAATCGGAATCCGTAGCTCCAGCTTCCTCTACATCGGTACCCGCGGCAAATATTTTTGGTGCAGCCAAACCTGTAGATACTACTGCCAGAGAAAGAGAAATCGAAGAACGTCTTGCAAAATCATATGCAGAATCAAGATCAAAAGAAGAAGCGTATGTGGAAAATATTACTTTATATAATTACCGATCTTTTTAATCTTTTGATATAATTTTAATCTTCCGAATTTTTCAGAGAAAATGAAAAACGTAAGGAAAGTACATGGGGACGTCGCAATGGAGTGAGTTTTGTAAATTAATTATCAAAATGAAATGTTTAAATATGAAAAAACAAATACATATCAATAATTCTTTTATTTTTCACGTTGCATTTTTTTTTTTTTTTTTTTTTTTTTTTTTTTTTTTTTTTTTTTTTTTTTTTTTTTTTTTTTTTTTTTTTAGGAAGATCGCGATGATAAAGAAAAGGATAAGAGTCGTGAGACTTGGAGGTCAGAGGGTGAAAAAAAATGGACCGACAAATCGGCGTCGCATAGTCATTCAACTTCAGCACGTTCTGGTACTTTTATTTTTCTACATAAAAGAACTTCGTATATATAGTTCGAATTTCAAAAAAAAAAAACCTAAAGAGAGATACACCGACTATAAATAAATACACTGTTTAGATCAACATGGAGATTCCAAAGGAGATTCGAAAGGATCCAATCCTCGCAGTGGGCCACCGCCAACAAAAACATCCCAGAAAAGCGACAATCGTGGATTAGATAGGTAATGAAATATTAGATATATAATTAGGCTTATTATTTCATATACCTGTTGATCCTGAAAAAACATTTGCATATAGTTTTTGTATAATATGCTTCATTGAGATTAACTGTAATTAATTCGTGAAAAGAAATTAATTATATAATTATTATAATAATAAACTATAGCAGGGAACGAAAGGAAAGAGATAAGGAAAAGGATGAGCTTGATAGAATGCCTAAAGCAAAAGATGAAAAAACTCCAGTGAGTAAACATTTTATTTTTTCTTTTTTTTTTTTTTTTCTTTTTTTTTTCTTTTTTTTTTCTTTTTTTTTTTCTTTTTTCTTTTTTTTTTTTTTTTTTTTTTTTTTTTTTTTTTCTTTTTTCTTTTTTTTTGTAACTTTAGTAGATGTAAATGATCAATGAAAATTCCATTTCAGAATTTTGTCGTTTCCAACAAGTATTCCATGTTACCTGATGACGCGGATCCTGACAATATTGAAGATTAGTCGTACGATCATAAGTTTACTATGCCATGTGCATTATAATTGGTCTATATACATACATTACTAATGTTTGATTTACAATTAAAAATACGTATCCAATTGATTCATAAGCAAGTCATATGCTCTTGGTACTATTTTACAGGAATTATTGTTGATTTATATATATTTAATCTATTTTATTATTCCGAATACAATTATCAATCTCTATTTGTGTATTTGATTTATATTTAATACGAGTGCTCTGTCTCATTAGATCAATGTGGAAAAGTTTTCGTACTGCTATATTAAAAAGAATTATTATTTCAATATCTTAAATATGTAATTCTATAAATATTACATTCACAAGATAGGAATTGGGATTTTATTCGTTGTAGAGTTGTTGTACATTGTATCTTATTTACAATATAATATATGAATACCGATACAGTTACGTCAGATACTGTTGTGTAGTATTTTTTACGATAGCACATTGCTTTAATATTAGTAAGAAAAAAAAGAAAATAAAAGGTGAACCTTTATTAATTGTATTAATTGTGTGCTATGCTATATGCGTCGAATAGTTTAAACTACATAACTAAGAATTGCACATTGGAGAAAATAACATTTACGTTCGCGTATATACGAAATTTATATTTTGAAATTTTATTACATAATTCAAATTTATCGTTCTACCTATCTCTACTTGGTATAAATTAAACTAAAATTCTCTATAATTTTTTAATACAATAAATTAGTAAATATTATAATAAAATTAACGGTATTGCACACTTTTGTACGTTCATGTATACAAAACTGTGCAAAGTTTTGTACGTCTATCTATATATATATATCTATATACACATATATATATATATATATATATATATATATATGTATATATGTATATATATATATTTATATATATATATGTATATATATATATTTATATATATATATATTATATACAAAAGTATAATCTATATTTATAATTCACTTGACATATTATATCAATTTTAGTGGGTTATTATTGTTGAGTAGTCTGTGCCAATTGACGCAATTGCTTTAAAACAGTTTCTAACAATTTTTTCTTATCTCTCTCACTTTTCTTCAGTACAGAAAATACTGTTTTTTTATCAGATTCTTTCAATCTGTAAAAAAGTACGTCTTATGAAAATTTAATACAATATTCTGCGCATGTATAATAAAAAATAAAACACTTTGTTACATACTTCTCTAATAAGATCACAGCCATATTTGGAGTTACTAAGTTATATTTGCTCGAATCATGACCATAGTCATGAAAATAGGTTGGCCAATCCCAACCCATAAACAAATCTAGCAATTGTCTTAATTGACTGAAATATTGCAATAATGTACCTTCCGGTAAACCGACAATAGGTTCTGAAGCAGCAAATTCTGTAAAATGTAATCATATACTGTTGCATAATTGCTCATATTACAAAATAAATATAATCTGTAAATACAAGGTACACATACGTTCGCATTGTATAGTATCCAAATTGACTTGTTGAAGTGCACCCATTGATATTTGCTTTACATCTTCACTAATTAATATATCTAATATAGCTTTTGCTATATGATCGCAAGCTGATTTACATGCAACTTGTGCAACTTCATCCTAAAAATTCAAAAGATAAATTTATTATATGATAAAATTGTACATGGATTTGTGTATATATATATATATATATATATATATATATATATATATACACGCTACACATATATATTTTTTATACATACTGGTAAATTAGTGAAACATGTAAATGTACTTTGTAAAAATGCTATGAGATCTGTAATGAATCCAGAAGCATGGCCTTGAGGTTCAGACAAATTCCAGTCATAATTTTCTAATTCCAAAAATTCGTCCAACTTCTTTTCAAGTTTTTCACAAATCTGCGTTTCCGCGTCTTCCCTTGCCACTCTAAACATAGCAGATTTGTCTCCCACACAACTTAATTGTCCTTCGTGTTGTGTTCTGTATATTATTAAATTAATTATTTCATAACTTTATTAAATGTTATTAATAATGTTCTTACCCAGTAATATTAGTAACAAATTCTTCCAAGTATTTTGTGGACTTTTCTAAATAACCCATGTTTATTATAATTTGAACTACTTGTAATAGAGCTAAAGATGGTTTTCGAAATAACGACGACAAACATCCACTAAATGTTCTTGTCAAAAGCAAATTCGTTGATTTACAAATCATTTCATCTATTTCAGCTTGCGTAAAATTTAAATCTTCCGAATATTTCAAGCAAGCATAAATAAATTCTTTAACTTGTTGATAGACTTTTGGTACCATGGCTGAAAATGGAAATTTTTTAGGAAACTTGGCCTTTTGTAATTCTTCATCATGATATGGAAAAGAACTAAGAATGCTTTCGTATTCTGCTTGTGATGTGACCTGTAATTAATTAACTGATCTCTGATATATGATCTAAAGTACATAATGCGTTTTTCTCGACACGATCGATATATATCATACCTGTAATGGTAAAAAACTATCCTCGTCTAAAATATCTCGAAAAACTTGAACCCAATGTTGCATAAGAACTTCGTTATAATGTACACGAATTTCTTGTAGTAAATCCCAAAGTTGTCCAACGGGATATCCATAATTCTAATTGTTAAAACAGAATATATGATAATATTTATAATAGACACATATTAAAAACTTTACTTACACTTAATGTTGTATTAAAAAGCATTATCAAGTTTTTTATCTTTAATATCAACGTCGCATCTGTACAATATGCCTACAAGAATTAACAATTAACGATTGATTAATTCTTTTAACTAATATCTTCGATTTAATGCGAAACTTACTGAATGTGTTCTAAGTGAATTGATTATTTTAGGTAAAGCCATAGTCCACAATTCTTCTAAATAAGAATGAGTAGCTAATCCATTACTTGTATTTAAAATATGATCTTCCACCACAAAAAAACCAACGATACTATGTAGGTAAGCCTGATATCCGATTAAACTTTCATGCTAAATAAAGATAAGAGAATATTTAAAATTGTGTATTAGAATGATGAATTTAATTGATACAAATCCTGTACCCACCATATTAATGGGAGCTTGTAAAACAAGCCTAGCCTGTTGCTTTCTTTGGTTTCTATAATAAGTCTTAAACGTTTCACCTTCACGGAGAACAGTGTAAATATGCATACAACGATATACCGGGCTAAAATCCATTAAGTCTTGCGCGCTTAATTCTTCTTCTCCGTCGCCAGATTCTGTATACGTATGCGATTTTTTCTTTTTCCGTCCAATAATCTCAGCTTCAATAACCAATTGTTCAGCAGTCTAACGAATGAACATAAGACAGTATTTATTATGTTATTTTATTATTTATATATATGATTAAAATTAGCCCTCTTATAATATTAATAAATGTAAGATTTTACTTACATGGCGCATAGCAACCTCTCCAATTTTTGGCGAATGTTTTCTTATATTCTCTAAAAAATCTCGCAGATCTGACATGGAAGCATCTTTTATGTTTTCACGCAATCTATAAAATTATAATAAAGAATTATGACATTAATATTAAAATTATAATTATGTAATGTACCTTTTATAATACTACCTACTGTGGAATTTGTTGAGTTATTTGGGAAGAAAATCTATAGTTTGTAACTTTTGGAAGGTCATGATGTTCCAGTTGCTCAAGAGTTTTCAAAGCTGGGTAATAACGTTTATCTTTTAATTGCTTTTGTAGTTTTGCATAAGCTGCCAAAACAGGAAGGCACATAGTGAGACTGTTTACAGCAGCTGCCATGTTACTTTCTACTTTACGTGCCCGTACAAGTTCTTCTCCTTTTTCAATTACCTTACTAGAAGTGGCAGTTATACATTTGTCAAGTTCTAATATTTCTGCCTGTAAGATTAATGATATTTTAATCGAGCTTTGCAGCTTGTATAAAACAAAAACAAAAAAAAATACCACCTCGATACAAAGTTAAAGCAAATATAAAAACATTCTATTTAACATTGACTAACATTAAGTTGTTGTGCTTGGGAGCGAACTTGTAAAAGTTCACGAATGGAATCGATGAATCCTTGATAATGATGATTACACATTCTTTCGATATCTTTGTCATGAGCTTTGATGCGCTCATCGAGCTTCTCCAGAAATTTTTCATGTTCATTGCCATCATAAATTGCCCTGCGAAAAAGCCATTAAAAATAAATAATATGATTACTTCAACAAAATAATATGATTACTTCAAACAGCAACAGTAGTACCTGATAATAAGGCTTATACTATTATTGTTTGATGTCTCTATTTCGTATAAAAAATGTTCATGTTTAGGTGCAACGCTCGAAAGAATATTTTGAATTTGAGCGACCGATAATCTTGACATATTATTTAATTTGATCTTATCTCATTTTATTTTCATCCCTTAACTTGCGGTCTTGTTTTCATCCCTTCATTGCGCATATGCACCGTTCGATCTAGCATCTGCGTAAAGGGGTGGTTGTCGTAGGCGCGTTTTTTCGATAGAGAGATGCAACGATATGCCGTGATCCTAAATAAAATAATAACATACCGAAAAGTAGGTCCTAAATAATCGTCGATAGCTTCTATTTCTTGTATGAGAGCGTCGTAACGTTGCATTTTCTATTAAATTCCCTTTCAATATTGATGTTTTAAGATTAACACTTAATTTATCAAAAGAAAATGATTATTATCAAATTAGAATAAATCGTCATCCTAACCTACAAATTATTTTCAATCGATGTTTTTAGTAACACGATCTGTCAGCATAGACAGAAATAAATAATTAAACATACGATTTGTCAAATTCGGAATCTCGTATATACAATTCTGAACATATGATACAGGTCGCCCTCTAGCAAAGAAAAGGTTGAACTAATTTTTGTTTATTTTGGTACCCTATTTGGATCTTTTTATAGTTACGCTCTTGAATCATGAAGATGGAACCCCTTTAAATTTTTGTAGTAATACGTTCCTGAGCATCTTTCCATGACAATCAAAATGCTAAATCTTGTCATAAATTATTGCAAAGGATGATTGATTATATGAATAATATTATATTCAAAAAGAGGATAATGAAAGGTGAATTTTTCTAAACTTTATATATGATTAGATTATTATTATTAGAAGAAAATATTATAATGTAGAAGAATTATGTTTTTTATTAATTAATAATCAACAATAACAAAATTCATATTGGCTTTTTCATAAAACATAATTGCATTTAAATTACATTATTGAAAGTTCTAATTTCATTACAAATTAATATTTACTTATTTATTTTGTCTTTACAATGCTTTTATGCATAAAAGAATATTTTAGAATGATTAATTATTTCTTAACATGTAATATTTTGAAATGAAGATGGGTTAAAAAAGAAGGAAAACACTTCAAATAAATGTTAAAATC